TATCCCGCCTATCTGGTCAAACAACCACTCAGAATGTCATAGCAAGTTGAGTTTCTGTCTTACCTCTTTCACAATATCCACTACCATTTTCTAAATCATGGATTTGCCACGAACTCCCTTTAAGTTTCTAAGGTTGCTGCAGACCACCAAGACTTAACTCAAGATTTGAAACCCTAAAGTTTATTTAAAGTTTCTCAGGAAGGTCTTCAACTTTAGAGAGAAGGGAGAAATAAGTTAATCTGTTAATGCACACATTCCTGTTATTTTTATTGGAATCATTCCATACAAATTTAAAATAATAATATTATCACACTGACACTGACCAATTCCGAATCTCTCTTCCCATGGCTTCTGAATGTCTGTGCGGTGGCAAGAAATGTCATGTACTTTCTCTCAGCCACTCAGCATCATTCACTTGCATGTTCTCTCTATGTGCAGAAATATCACACAGTTATTTGCTATCAAACAACTATTTTCATAACTGATTTTTACTTTTGTTTGTTTTTAATTGAGGTTAGACAAGCCAACATTTACACAAACAAGCAAGGGAAATTAAGATTTTGTTTTACGTTTTCTTTTCTTTCTTGCTCTCATTCATTCAGTCTTTCTGTTTTTAACTAAAAAAGATCGTAACATTTCTTCAAGCCTTCACAGAACCCCTGTGATAACATTGTGCATCTCCCCACCCATCCCGCCTCCCCGTGGGTCTGGGCACTGCAGGTTAAGAACCTAGGTCCTAAATCTTTCTTACCTGTATCCTGAATAGAACATACTAGACTTGAGAACTGTATGATTTCTAGATTGGGGAGGATAACTTGTGGAACTTCAGATGATGCTGAGATGGCAGCTCCCATAATTTCTTACCATTAGCTATGGTGGGTAGTGGTATGAGAGTTGCAATCTAAGAGCATCTAGAGGGCCACACGTTGCCCATTCTGATTTATATAGAGACATATAAAACTAGATAGGTTCTTACTAGCTTTCTCATCAGGGTAGCAGCCTTCGATATCATGAATGTTCTTTTCAGTCAAGAGGGGAAATCTGCCTTTGCAACAGTTTATATTTTTTACCATCTGTAGTTACTTCTGCTAATGTCTCTGTGTTGTAATTGACCAATGACATGCCATTTTCATAACTAGCTGTCTACTTTTTCTTGTTGGTTAAAACAGTGAGCTTGGTGTTTATGCATCCCATATCCAATACACAGGTTCTGTTGATAGAAGGAGCTAATTGTCAGCGTAGAATTCATAGTCACCCCCCCACCCCAGTCTTCTCAGCAGGAGTTTTGTCTGCCAACCACATTTATCCAAAGCAGAATGAAAGTTTTAACAAGAGTTTTTGCAAGAAAGAAACAGCAGCAGTAATGGATGGGTGGGTGGGAAGGCCACAACATCCCTGTAATCATTTGGAAGATACAAAAGCTGTGCATGCTACGGGTCTATGCGCCAAAGGATGGGGCAACTATGCAGAGGTGAAGAGATGGGCAACAAACATGTTTTCAGGTGTCAAGTTTTAGTCTTTGCTTTCAACCTATTTGTAATTCACATGTGTAAAACCTTCATTGCATTGCAACCTCTCCTCTCCTCTCTTTTCTGCATGAACCCAGATTAACTCAAATAGTGCAGGAGACAGTACAAAGGTGAGTCTGCTTCAGGCCTCAGTATAAAAATGCTTCGAGACAGATGGCCTTAATCTATTCAAGACAACCACAAGGACGTAATATAAAGTCATAACTTGAGTAGTTCCAGGACTGTAGCTGCACTACATAGTTCTATCAGTATAATGCCACTTTAACTGCTATGGCTGCCTGCTGTGAAGTCCTGGGTTTCGTAGTTTGGTGAGATACTTAGAATTCATCTTCTTGTGAACTTTTCTGAACTGTTGCAGAGCATTCTAGGCACCTCACCAAATTACGAATGTCAGAATTCCTTCTGGAGCCATAGAAAGTGGAACAAAACTGCTATAACTACAGTGTAGATCATAGGCTACATCCTGGCCTAGAGGCTTTTTGCTCTTTATAATAGTAGTGCTGTTTGGAACCATGCTAGCATACACATCAGGAGGGCCTGACACTGAATCCCAGCCATTTACTGTGTGAATGTAATTCCTTTAGTACTGATCAACAAGAGCCCATAGTTCAGACAAGCCCTAAAAATGCAGCAGCTTGTGGCACTTCGCTCCAAAAGGCACACCGAGGTTCTAGGAATTTAACTGGCTTTTGTGTTGCAGTCCACAGAAGCCGCTCCTGCTGGTGCTGAGGCAGCTGGCAAAGAAGCAGTAGCTGGAGCTGAAGCTGCTAAAACCGAAACTGACTCAGGATCCGCCTCAGTAAGATTGCAGGCAAGGGAAGAGGGAGGGTCTGTGTTTCTCATTCTCCCCGGTGGCTGGCTCAAGCTGGCATATGAGATTAGTCACTGTTTCCCCAAGATCACAAACAGATGCCAGCCCAACTCTAGAAGCTAGAGTGTTATAGCTTGTGTTGCCCATATAATGCCTGATGGATAGAATTGCTGATGGAGAGACCCAGTTTACTGTACTTGCTTTTTTAACAGAGCAAAGCCCACCAATTATCCATAGATGGCTTTTCTTAGGAAAACCTTTGCCTCGATGCAAAGAGCTAAGCAGACACGGCCGACAGCCAGTGCTTGCTATGACACATCCCTCCAGGCTGATTATAAAGGCCTAGCACAGAATCCACGACTGAAAAGTCTCTTTTGCTCTCACTAAAGTCAGCTTCCATTGTCTCCCCATGTCCGGCTGTGCTAAAAAGGTCTCACCTGAGGCACTACACTTGTTGCCCTCAGAAGCTCACACTCAGTTCTTAGTCACATGGGATGAGAACAATATATATTGAGTTAGCCAAGAAAAAAAGATACAGAAGGACCACTGCCTATTACCGTGAACCTAACTCTCATCACTCCTTTTTGGCAGAACCTCCTGTTTGTTTCATTAGTCTTTACACACCCACCCACCAGTTTCCTACTAATATTTGCCCCCTTCTGTGCTTGCCTTTTTTTATTCCCATCTTTTCATAAATCATTCTCCTTATCTCAGTGTCTACTCTAGGCTGTAATTCAGAACCTCCAGGGCACGGAGTTAAAACAGGGAAAGCCTTGGCACCTAATGAATTTTTCAACAAGAGAGTCATAAATAAATGAACAAGGGCTGCTATTTGGGGATTGAACCATCTGGGATTTATTATAGGCCTCTGTCATCCTCTGAAGCAGGGCCTACTGTTTCATTCCATTATTTTTACCTAAATCCTCCTTTTTTTCGGTCTCCTTTCTCTTCCTGCATTAGAGCTCTCTGCCTGCTGTAGTTGTGGAGACTTTCCCAGCCGCGGTCAATGGAACAGTTGAGAGTGGAGCCTCCTCTGAAAGGGCGGACATGCCGCCAGGTTTTCTGTTTAAAGTAAGTATGAGATATGCTTGGATTACTTACCCTGGCTAGGCAAGCCTTTCCAAAAGAACTTCATAAAAACCAAATACTGTAGTTTGCTAGTAAAATAGAAAATGATAAGCAAGCAGCGTGGAAGTAACGATTCACAACATTGATCTGGGTCACCTGAAAAACCCAAGGCCTTATACATGTCATTCCACATGTATTTGGACTGATGACCTACATCTTTATTACATATAACATTGAGTGTGTGGCTTCGGATAAATTAGTATCTGTTTGGGAAATGCTGTGGATATCGTAAAACAGACCATGTATCGTTTTTTTAAATGCATAACTTGGCTCACATACATTATTTCAGTAATTATTACAGCACTACTTGCTGTTCGGAGTGTTAGATATACCCTCTTAAGTCTCATCCCAGCAATTTTAGGGGAAAAACCAAACCCTTTCTTCTAGTCTTCTCTACTTGAATAGCTAAGGAAGATCAAGAGCTTACAGGAGACTGGGCCACTTTGCTCCTTCATAGTTCAATTGTTTCCCCATACCTCTTTTCTAACATGTTTGGCTGAGGAACCATTTAGAGATAATCAGCTTACCACACAGCTTCCCTACTTCACCAGGGAAGGAAAAGCCAAACAGATGACTGATAATAGTTTGTTCATGTATTTGGTATGGAGGTGAGTTATGGCTGTACAAAAGGTGGAGTAGCTGTTGTTTATCAGATTAAACAAGACCTCCACTCTCCTCACTAGAATTGTCTTTCCTTTGCAGGTCCAAGCCATGCATGACTATGCTGCCACCGATGCTGATGAATTACAACTGAAGGCTGGGGATGTTGTCCTGGTGATTCCATTTGACAACCCCGAGGAGCAGGTAAGGAGAGCATGCGGAACGTTTGTTTGTTCCAGTGGTACATAGTACATAGAACATCGGACCTGGGCCAGGATGACTTGGGTTCAAACCACCGTTTGGGGCATGAAACTATCATAATGAAACTTCAGTGTGATCCCACAAAGAGGATGATATGTAGCAAAATCCTGGCCTTCCACATAACAATCTCTTTGGCTCTTTGAACTGGTTTGTTTGGGAGTACCCATACTCACATGCTTCAATGGAGAAATAACGAGATGTACTTGAGAGATGGTGGAGATCAATTTAGGGGACAAAATAAGACATTCCAAATTACTGTATAAACCTGACGGAATGGTGAGGAGACATAGTGTCTGGTTAGCTCACTCCACTAAATGCAATAGAGGTATGGTACCAGGTTAAAAAAAATAATCTCTTCAGGTTTGATCAGAGCCCTGGGCCTCTGCACACTATTTTGCTATCAAACCTGAGGACATCCTCGGAAGATAACACAATGCATTGCCTAAGTAGCCATTGAATCACTGTCTTGGCATCCAAACTGAAACGTGACTGTTCTTCACTTGTATGAGAAAACATCGCATGAGATTTCTTTTTACTGCAGATGGTTTTCTGTCCTATGTGAGTTCTACCTTTCTGTAACAAAGACTTTGTGATGCAAAAACTGCAATCAAGTTTGTTTTTTAATACAGTGCATTCTGCTGAATAGCAGCCCAGCAGATGGCACTGTATTCTGAGAGAGGGAGGGAAATACTTTATTGCTTTTTAATTTTTTTTTTAAAAAAATAAGGCATACTGTCTTCTCACAGTGAACAAACAGGAATGTTTCATCTTAGCCAACAGCACTTTTAAGTGTGTTTACATTATATGTTACATTAAGACTGCATCTTTTAAATACATCATAGAGGCCCACTGCACCTCCAAATAGTAACTTCTTAAACTGAAAGTGGACTTCTTGCCACATCAAGTTTCATCTTTTGCTGGTAAAACTAACTTTTGGAGGGTCTTGGGGCAGACAATTCCCATGGGACCCACCAGAATTGGCACCCTCTGCCCTATGGTATGACCAGTGATTGACAGTATTGATTGATGTGCTTGTGGAAAAGGATTGTTAAATCCAGTTACAGCAGTGTCATTTTGTAGTGGTGCATTAGGCAATGCTCCAGACTCAGTTCAGTTCAGTAGCACTACATTTCTCCTTTAAAAGTATTACGGGGAGACACTCTGCTTGGGTAAGCTTGATGCTTAAACTGAAATTGACTATATAATTGGCTTAAGCTATAGACTTTAAGATAAGGGTGGTTTTGAAACTATAGAGTTCTTTGAAGTTCTATTCTATAGATGTTTAGGTCCTTAAAACTTTACTTATTGAAATGGTTTCCTTTCATTATTTCATAATTCAAGATTAATATTTGCTATTCAAATTTTTAGAGAAAATGATATTACATACAGTCTTGTTTGCATATTCAATAAAAGGAAGATAAGGAATAATTCTTCTGGACATTTTATCTGCTTCTGGGATAACAAATCTGCAGGATATCCAGAAGGAAAAAATACTTATGTATATAACAAATTGTCTGGATCCCACTCTATACAAAACCATACATAGGGATAGTTAGCTATGACAAACTTCATAGACTGAATGATCAAGGGTATATAGTGCTCTGAAGGCTAATGTCATGTGTTGTCTAACAATATGACAGTCAGGTTATTCTAACAGTCCAGACAAATAAAGTTTTCTGTGGTTTCTGAGAAAGGAAGGTTTGGGTTTTGTTGTTTTGCATGAATGAAGTCAGTGCCTCAGTTGTAACTTACTTTTACTTTGAGTGAACATAAAATTTGGGGCTGAGTTATGGATGTACAGAAATTTGTGTGTACATTCACTAAAGGTAAACTGTTCATGTGGACCTTCATTAAAGGAAAACCTAAAGAAATTGTTGTGTTGCATAAAGAACATAAAATGACCAAGACACAGTAAATAAGCCAGTTTAGAGAAAATATTTTGGTTGATCACTTTTATGGGCATTACTGTAGATTACTGATTTAAGATCCCAAAAATATGCTACTAACCAGGGTCTAGTTTACCAGATAGACAGCAGAATAGGGTTACTACAGAATATAATTGGTCAGGAAACTTAATTTACCCAAGGGCACTTATTTAAAGACTAAAACATTTATTGCAGCATTATTTTTCATGGACATGCAGAATGTCACTTTATATGCCCGACACCATCTTCCGTAATCTAAGCCGTAAATGCTCTTTGAATTGGGAGTTCTCACGTCATGTAATGTGAACTTTTATCTCTTTCCACCTCTGGCAGGATGAAGGATGGTTGATGGGTGTAAAAGAATCTGACTGGCTTCAGCACAAAGAACTTGACCAAAGTCGAGGAGTTTTCCCAGAAAATTTCACAGAGCGCGTGCAGTGAGGCCCCATGGCTCCAATGTGGCTTCTCTTCAGCAGGAAAAGGTGTTTTGTCCCCACATCCCCTTGGGGATAGCCTAAAAATAAGAGAATTTTAAAGGAACAAAAGCATAAAAAGGTTGGATTCTTCACAGAACATAATGTTTTAGAAGTACAGTACATTGAATTCAGAGTGTTGTTATCAAATATATAGGTCATAAAGAAAGATAGGTTGAAAACAATCCCCTTTACTTTTTTGTTTGAACAGTGCTAATGTTAAGAAGATTATCACCAAAAGGCAGAGTCATTTTGTGAAAATTGGCGTTAGGGTGTGTTTGGCATAATAAGCCGTGAAATACTGTCCCGTTATCCTGACACTACACAATAATGTTTACCTTTGTGGGAAGGTGAAGTCAACCTGTCTTGTGGCTGAAGTTGCTTATGTGGCATCCCCTGAATTTCAGACCTTTCAGATTACTCGAACCTGCTGCCATAAGCCTGTTATGCTGTTGAAAAGAAATATTTAGTGTACAATGTTCACAAATTATGATTATGTATATGTGTGCGAGTGTGTTGTTCTTCCTTTGGAAACTCTAATAAGACCTGTGGTTTTATACATTGAAATGCAAACAAAATAAACTCCTGAGTGCATATCAGAAAGAAAGATGAGGAAGCTATGCCTCATCCAAAGCTGCTTCAAGGATGTGAGTTAGCCTATTACATTGGTATCTTTTTGTCCTTTTAAAAATGCTATACAAGTATAAAAATAGCTTTATTTGGTTTTTTTAAAACAAATATTAACCTATTGCTGATTTAGTAAACCAAACTTAGAATGAGCAGAAGCTGGCTTAAAATCCAAGGGAGAAACGAAGAGAGAAATGTAAAAGAATAACATGTCAAAAAGAACATGTTGGCTGGAATCCTGATGGTGTTTGTATAAGGTTTGCATAACTTTCCAGCCAGCTGACAATGTGCAAGAGCGCATCTTGCTTACATGATGAACTATGTGACCAGGCACTCAACTGAGATGTCTCCTGGCACCTCAGCAACTAGCTGCAATTGGCTGTTGCAAGTTACTCAGTCCTTACACAAATACCAACAGGTTCAACCTGGCCATGATTGCATTTTGTTTCCACTGATGGGAACAAAAAAAAATTGCTTTCAGTTTTCAGCCAGTTCTGCTGAATCCCATTGCTTTTGCCAAAATCAGCACCCTTGTCTTTCTCCTGTAGTCCCATAGGCACCCTAAAATCCTTGAAGCTTCATGGGTACCACAGAAGACTGCAGCAGGAGGGGAAGGAAGTTCTGACTCCAATAGAATTGGATACCAAAGTATATTGCTGGAATATGGCCTTTAATTTCTCAGTATTTGTGGGGAAATTGTGCATGCAAGCACCTCATTTATTTGTTTTGTCCCATCCACAGTTGGTGAATGTCCAAATCTTTTCAGCACTGATTAAGCTGTAAGAATGTCCTGTGCTTTGCAAATTCAACCAGCTGTGCTGCCTGTCAGGAGCTGTTCCATTGTGTTACTACCAAATGTTTGTTCTGTACAGTACCACTACTGCAGGTGGCTCTGTAGTACAGAGGCCTCCTAGGAGGCTACCTTGGTACGCTGGTGGAGGTTGTTGCTTATCCAGTAATCCCTTCTCATGCGCTGTACCCGTGCAACTCCCTGGGCCTGCTTGCAAGGTCATTGCTTGTGGCAAGCATGCTGGTGGAGCAATTTGCACACACTATCTTAAACATGTATTGGCTCATGCAGTGGTTCATAGATAATTCACATCTTATTTTTAAAAAAACAAGTTGGTTGAAATTTTTCAGTTTTCAAGCATTGTAATCTAAACTGCCATTTTGAAAATGGCACCCCTGTGTTTACTACAATGGTTTCAGACTTTATTTTAGGAAAACTGAGGTCTGCTCGGATTAGCATATGTTCTTCAGTGAGAAGGCCAGCAGTGGAGGGGCAGCTTTCTTACAAATCAGCTCAGTGTTAATTATCTCCCCTACAATGCGGAGCTGTCTGTTTTTTTAGGCAGCACTTTATGCAGGGCAGCCATGGCACCTAACAGGCCTGACCTGTTGAACTGAACATGCCCCTTGGAATTTCTCCTAGAATCCTTTTGTCATGCAGAGGATACATCACTAATCAAGGTTGGGAAGACTTCCTCATGGTAGATAGGGTGAACACCATGGGTCTAATGTATTTGCATTTGCATTGCTCCTCTTATTTGTTTGTTTATTCTGTGCATTATGATGAGCAAGCAAATTACTAGGCAGTTGGTAGAGTGAACAATGAATCTATCAGTAGCAACAGGTTTGCTTTCTCCAAGCACCGCTGTACTGAACAGGACTTTAAACTTTCCGATTTACGAACTGACTTCCTGAACGTAAGTTCGTAAATCAAGGGTTGACTGTACTTGAATGACTGATGTAGCTAGGGAGCTCCTCAGATCCTTTTATGGCTGGGTTCGTTTGTTTCCAAATTCTGTACTGATTTGTTTTAAATGCTTTTTCTGTTTTGGCGTGAAGGTATTCCTTTAGGACAGGATATCTCCTCTTGCATTGAAATAACATGTGAGATTGTTATATTGAATAATCCCACAAAATGTTTTTAGAAAGGCATGGCAAGCCATGTTGGACCCCAAAAATAAAATAAAATCAAGTTAAACTTAAAATAGCTTTTAGGAGCATAAAGTATGTGTGAGACTGCCAACAATACAGGACTTTAGGTCCAAAGAGGAAGCTTTTGTTTTACTTGGTAACAAGTCATTAGTCCAGCTATGTGTTGCCAATGTAAATAACCATCAATAATGTCAATAATGCCTACATAAAGCCCAGGAATTTGGAGAGTATACTGTGAATGCTGTAGATTAGTTACAATTGCTTATCACTTACAACCACTTAAGTTCTCTTTTGGGGAAGGACTAGTCTTTATGGTAGTGTTTTAAAGACTGCATTTTACTCATTGGGGCTTTAAAAAGATCAGTAAATTCTGGATTTAATGACATATCCTCCAGCCACACTTCCTATTATTCAGATTCCTCTGTATCCTGGAATGCAGATCTCCTGAAACTCACCCACTGCAAGTGTGGACACTATGGCACGGTTGGTGTACAGAGTTGCTGCAACATATTTGTCTCATTACAGCCTGTCCTTTTTAAAAAAAGTATTTTTGTGCATTTATAAAAATGAGGCTGTCCTTCTAAGAGAAAGATTGTGAGGCATCTGTAAAAGAATATTAACTAAAAATGTCTTTATCCAACGAGAAAGTATAAGTGTAATATCTATTTTTTTGCAAAAAGGAAAAAAAATCTGACCCTGTGGATTTTCTTTTTAAAAAGGAGGCTGGTAGTGGTGGTGATATTATAAATTTCCAGAATTAAAGTGTGACACTTATATTGCTTCTCTAGTTGCTAGGGCATATAATACCTGTTTTATTTTTTATTTTTTGCTGACTTCATATTCATTGTTTCTTTTCTTGACATTTGTGTCTGATTATTCACAGAAGTGTTACAAAAATGTTTTTGTTGTGGAAAAGCAGCCATTCAGTACTGTATTGTGTCTTTACTGGTTATGTATTCTGATGCTGTACAAAATGGTATAGCGCTTGGCCTTTAAAATGATGGTTGATAAGCTTGTAGTTCTCAGGTTTCATCAGTTTTCTTCAGTTGCTGCAGCAGGGAAACGGGTCTCTTTCACTTGATCTCAATTTGCTTCTGAAGAAATCTGCTCAATGATGAAGGCATAATTCAGCTGAAATTAACAGCAACTGCTTCATGTGGACAAGTAAAATTCCCATTAGAATAGAATATGCTTGTATTTGGGATTCAGTGATTGACTGATGAGATGAATCAATTCAAAATATCTTTAGCTAACTAAGATGGTTCCCAATCAACCAACAGTTTTTTTTAAAATATAGAGCATATAACATTTAATAAAAGCTGCAGACAACAATCATCACTTTTAAAAGAGGCATTCTGTCTTATCTCATATGCAGGGACAGTGCCTCTTCTGAGACTAGATGTGGTGTGACACATCACATATGAATAATCTAAAAAGCTGTCTTGTTTCTTGCTAAACAATCCTGGGTTGCATTCAGAAAAAAGCTGCCTGCTGATGGAAGCAATTGGTATGAGGTTTTTGATTCAGCAAAACTTTTCTGCTGACCAGGCAGGGAAAGAGGTAGCTTGAGGCAATTCCTCCCTTCCCCTTGGAATTGCCAGTATTCCCTGATTTTTTCCCCCTGGAAGGATAGAAGAATGGAATTTGGGGTGATTTGGCAACTCTGCGAAGATGGGCTCCCCTGCTTTCCATACATGGATATGTTCTGAGCAGAACTCCACTTGGTGACTCTACTGCTAGTTGAACAAATATGCAGAATTCAGTTGTTTTCACTTGTAGGCATATTAAATGCAGTAGACCAGACATAAATTTTAAAATTCATTAATTGGGTTACAACCCTAGAGTGGAACCCTCTTAATTCCTTCAGGTCATACAGCAGTCTTTTGGAGCCTTTGTAAATGGCTATTCTGTTGGCCAAATGGAAGATCTATTGCTTTGAAAGGGAGATTTCCTCTTGAATTACAGTTAGTTAGAGATAGTGTGTGAACTCTGTGGGCAGAGCATTATGCCTGGTCCCTTTGCAACAGAATAGTGACCCCAAGGATGTATGGGTTTTCCTGATGGAAAAGAATGTGAAATTAGGAAAATTAGTGAGAAACTTGCACATGGTTATTTGACATTATCTTTCTTCCCTGTTGAGTGACAAGTATCATTTACAGAAGACTTAGGGGAAAGGGGGGAAATAATTAATATCCTATTCTCTTCCTAAATCAATAACCTCCAGATTTCCTGTTAAATTAATATAAATTTTGGACTACTTGGAAGTGGATTTCACTGAGCCATATTCTCAACTATTATGTGTGCGATAGCATCTGTAACCACCATCTGCAAAGCACCAGCTTGTCTGGGCCTTACTGAATTCTGAAGAAGTCAAGAGGTTTTGAACATCAGATAACAGATCATTTAAATCTCAGACCCTAAGGCTGAAATCCAGTAGCAAATTGCAACTAGAGTAGGCTCATTGAATCAGTGGGGATATGGTGAGTCAACTCCTCCATAAGTTTTGTTGATTCAATAACTTTACTCTCTGGTTGCAATTTATTACTGGCTTTCAGCCTAAATCTAAGAAAGATTGTGAATATGCCAACAGATAAGTGGATAATTTTGCAAGTTGAAACAATTATTACGAAGGTATTCGAATGTGGAATGCATTTCATAAGGGAGAGGTTTGGAGGGGTAGGTCTGGTCCTCCTCTACCAAAGAACACATTACCGTACCACATGTAGGAACATTCCAGCTGCTCACTGACCATAATCTGCATTTTAAAACTTTATAACATTGATAAAGATACACTGAAAAGATTCGGAAAGACTGCTGCAGGAACTTTAGTTGAGAAAGAAGGATGGTTGGCCCATGTTAAAAGCATCTTATGTTCTAACACTGAAGTTGGCTCACATGCCACGTTAGTCTGAGGTCATTACTGAATGTTGAGCAGATCAAAAGGAAACAAATTGGACAACTAATTCTATCCCCCCTTTCTTTGTTTTAAAGCTCTTATCTCCCTGGTGGAGTTTCCTACATTTATTCTAATATAGAATGTTGTTATTTCAATAGAGAACCACCCTTCCTTGTTTCTTACCATGTGAACAGCTTGAGCAACTTAGGCAGAGAATGTGCACCACATTTCTAACTACTCACAATCAGCCACATATTGCACTGCTGAAAGAAAACAGAAATATAAGGTTCTCCTAAGGATTCCCATATACCCTTAAACTTTCAGTCACTGATAACATGTTTATAGGTTACGAAGAGACTAGTACCAGATATGGCCAATTCACACATTTAAACAACTCATCTGCTCCAGGTGAGCAGTGCAGTGCTAAAAGCCAATCAGTCAATTTCCCACCTATTCCAGCACTCTGCTGGACAAAGTGCAGGCTCAGAAGATTTTGTTCTGTGAGGTGTTTTGGGACTGCAAGAGTTTCTCTAATGCTGAGCATCTCAGTGGGTTAGTCATATACTACACTCTGGAGAGTTTCCTCAAGGTCTTTAGAAATTGCCAAATCAAATGGGGGTGGGATCCTCTTGGAAACTTGTCATTAAGGGATAGGAAATACACTCTTTGCCTCAGCCTTACTAGGAGAGAAACACAATGGATTGGATTGGAAGCCACAGTTGCCTCTTCGCTCCCTAGAGCTCAGCCTTCCCAAAATGTAGTGAGGCTGCTATTGCAACCAGTGGAAAGGAGCATTCCAGTTTATGTACATGGCTAGCCAGGCCATTCTACACATAGTTGCATGGTGAGAGAAAATCATGACCATAAAAACTAACATAAATGAGGTAGGGTGTTTGTTTTTAAATTTGAGACAATACCAACAATTAGAGCTATTTCACCGTGGAGAATGGAAGATGTTAAAATTGGGTGAAGATTGCAGATTTGGGAAGTGAGTGTTTGGAATGGAACTGTATTTCTTGCTAGCCAGAAGTGGCCAGTTTACAGATCAATAAGTGTGATTTAGTTTGGATCTTGGATGGGCCCAAATGTCTCCCTGCTCAATGAGGTTTCTTGGTGGCACGTTTCACCCTTCTGTATTACATGCTTTACACAGGTATCATAAAATGCATATAAACGATCCTGAAACAACAGATAGCAGCTGCCTTTTAATTTCATATTGAAATCCTCCTTCCTACCCTCTCTATTTACTCTTGGCGTGAGAATACCATAATCGAGCTTTAAAAATAAGGTACTTCTACATTGTTAGGAAAACTAATACATGGAACACTGCGGTTAACATTCTTTACTATTTCTTGCCTATGAAATTCTCTGACTTGCAGATACAGCTAACTTGTCCACTGTTCCTAATGGACATACTCTTTACCTGAAGCTCACTGGATGCTGTCCCTCTTTTCTAATACTCTCCTAGGTCAATGACTTTGACTCTCTGTATTTTAAAAAATGCCATCATTTCATCTGTTATCTAGTCCACTGATTTTGACCCTGCAGCTCACAGAACACCTGACATTTCAGGTGTTATTTCCTTTTGTTTTACAAAAAGTTTTTAAAAAGATCCTGGTGTGTGACTCCTAAGTTTAATGACATGTATTTCATGGATTTATTTATCCCATATGTTCAAAAATATAATTTTGTGTCATTCTGCCTCTTTGTGTACTGGTCTTCTTTTACAGTCTCTGCATGTAAGTGATTTTATCATCTGTCTTTCTAAGACCATACACTTATGGATCTGGGAAAATCCAAGGGAAATCTGATTATCTCTCACGCTCAGGGTTCTTCTACATACAAGCTTTGGGTGCAATTTCATGTAGTGCCAGCGCAGTGCTAACAAAAGTTACACAAAATTCTGTTGTGGGAAACTGTGTGTCTAATGGTAATAGGATCAGAGTTTATTTTTTTTTGTTTTTTGCTTCTTTCAGTTGGGGATCATACATTGAACAGTGCATTCAATCAAACAATCTGTTGCACAGTCAGGAGGATCAGGGTGCAATAGATATTCCAGAGAATACCTCCCACTGTTTGCACAATTGCCTTATGTGTTTGCATACATCAATAGAACTCTCATCATAAAGAAAATGAGTTATATCACTGTAAGCAGATAAACCAGTGCAAATGCCTCTGGTTTAGATCCAGGCTATTGATTCACAGTTAAAAACTGCTGTCTTTCACCCTCCATGGATCATATTTAACAATGAAAAATGATAGGAAATTCCTGATGGTAATTACTCCTTGACAATGGAATGGGCTACCGCAGGAAGTGGTGGATTTTTCTCCACAGGACATTTTAGAGCAGGTGTTGGGTGTCCATCTGTCAAAGGTGCTTTAGCTGATAATTTCCCATATTGGTAAGAAAGTGGACTGCAAGACATTGAGGTCCTTTTAGACTTCATAATTTTGTGGTAACTCCCCTTGCCCAGTTTCTAATCTTTCTGAAATGTTGCTGTTTTCTTGCCAGCAGAGTGGTGGAGGAATGGAGGGGAATATTTGATAAAGTCAGCTGGTTTCACACATATTCCAAGCAGAAATCAATAGGCCGTACATATTTGCCAGAAGATTTTAGTATCCTACTTTCTGGAGTCTGATATTCTGGGACATGCTGTGACTGATATTTTACCTGACTCCTGTAATTCTGCATTTTTCTGGAGAATTTCCATGTTTCTTAGTTTCTAACTGGAATGATTCTGGGTGTAACCCAACAAATCTCTCCTCTGTGCTCACTGATCTATCTTAGGGGGTGGGGGGGTTATTTGTAGTGCATCCACTCAACCTCTTGCTCTTATGTGTATCTGTGATAGCCAGACAGTTTGGTATCACACGCATGTCCATAATGGAATTAGATTTTTCTAGTCTTGATCCCTTTAAATTGAATGAAGCAGCTCTCTCTATAGGAAGACCACATGTTGAGCTAGTCAGGTTTCACAGTCCTATGGTTACTCTCACCAAGAATGAAAAGCAGCTGCTGAAGAAGGAGACAACACTAAAACTTACACTAGATAAGAGAAATATAGACAACCACCTTTGATTTGTATTCCTGCACTGAGCAGAGGGTTGGACTCAATGTCTGTATAGGGCCCTTCTGACTTCATGACTCTGCGATAAAATTTGCTTGTTGAAGATGCCTAAAGAATGTTGTTTTGACTGCACAGCCACTCTTCTGAAAATGTCTGATCTTATGAACCATTTTGAAATCCCCTTTTCACTCCCAACTGCTTAACCTTTTCTCTTTATATCTTTTTCACCATCATTTTCCAGAAGCATTAGAATCCCTGAAATATTGAGTAAAGATGTGTGTGTGTTGGGGGGAGAGGACTTCAGAATTTATTTTTTTGTTTAGGGGTCTTTTGGTGGGCTCTTTTTTTATTTTGAGGTTCTCTCAGATACA